ACTTTATACTAGTAGTAAATATTAGCTTTAGCATGTGTATTGCTAATGTAGCTACTTTCCTCCACGCCGATTGGCTGCCTTCTCCAAGCCCCTCCCCTACGCGGACACGTATTGTTTCGCCGATAATAAAAGATGGCGGCCGGACCCGCGTAAATTGGAGATCTCCTAGAGGTAGTAAAATCTAACAAACACATGATTTCCTGAGCTCTGGGGGTTTGTAAACGTCACGGTCCTTCAGCTCAGAGCAGCCGGGGACATGAGCGGCTCATTCGCGTCTCTGCGGCGCTGTTTTCAGCCCTGTTGAGGGGACCGCGGCCTAGCTGCGGCGCGCAGCCTCGGGCTTTCCTCGGCCGCTCATGCCGGCCGGCGGAGGGCTCGCTCGGCGGGGCGGATCCGGGCTCCTGGAAAGATTGGGGACTGGGAAGCAGAGGAGGGAAAGTGAACGGAGAGGGGGTGTGTTTGTGTATCTTTACAAAAGTAGGCGGGAAGTTGTTTAGCGTTTCTTTCTCTCGTGCAGGACACAGACTTCATTGTTTTTGTAAATGTTCCGCCGGTTCGATGTCGCATGAAGTTGTCCAGTGTCGATCAGGAGGAGCTGAAGCAACACACTGAGGTGCAGTTACCTCTGCTCATGTCCTGGTGACACCACGAGAAAGTTTTCTGTTTTTCTCCAGTGTCAAACTCCTCTCACTCCTTTAGGCCACGTTACTATTTACTACTAATGCACTGATGTTCTTCACCTTGACTCGAATCTTTCCCCCTGTGTTCTCCTGACAGGTCGTTATCCTGCCTTCATGGTGTCAGTGACATCCTGTGACAAGCAAACGTGTTGACAAAAGGACCAACTATGGCTTTTGAGGAGATCAAGAGTAAAGGAGGAATGGGTAATGCCCACTTTTAATGTGGTTTTAAAGTATTTCTTACGGTGGCCGAGTTGAGAAGTTAAGAAAACTCATGCAAATAGAAAAAACACGTGCTAACTTCATCAATTTGACGACCCGAGAGGTTACGACACATGCAAATACAGAAACGCTCTGCAAATTAACACAACTGAAATGTTTCCAGGGGACCCAGAAAAGTGATGAGCCTGCTGTAGTCTCATGCTTTGTGAAGTTCCATCACCACTGACGAGTATTCAATAACGTCACATTGCTCTTGTTTTAGATGTGGGGATGGAGGGAGACAGGGGCCTTGTTGCCGGTCGCAGCCAGAGAGAGAAGAGGAGGTCATACAAGGATCTGCTGAGGGAGGAGGAGGAGATTGCTGCTCAGGTCCGAAAGTCTTCCAAGAAACGACCCAAGGTAAATTATCATAGTTCAGTTCCTTTATCTATCGCCAGTGGATCTTTTTATAATTTCAATTGATTTTTTTTTTTTTGGTGTCATTTCTAATTAGGATTCAGAACTTTTCATGCTGGGAGGGGACTCGCATAAAAAGAAGAAGAAACATAGCGATGAGTACTATTACAGAGGTGAGTTATTGATATATTGTAATAATCTTCTAATTCATAAGAATTGACTCTAACTCCACGTTCTTCTCGTGTCAGACCACGATGGTTCCGGCCCACCTCCTCACAAGAAAAAGCACAAGTCTGCAGACCGTTCTCCGACCCTGTCTTCCCCGTCATCCTCCCACCCGACAGACACAGCGATGGGCCTCCTTCAGGCCATCACCTCTCCCTTGGCGACAGGTTCGGACCCCAGCCCCCATTTACACAAGAAACCCTCCTATCCCGCCCTCTCCTCACATTCCTCCAAGGACCGCAAACGTGAGGGCAGCAGTGGTAGTGGAAGCAAAGGAAGCCACTCCCTCTCTCACTCGCGCCCTGTGTCTTCCTCGTCCTCTTCTTCCAAGAAGCACTCCTCCTCTTCTTCAAAGTCGTCTCTGTTCCACGGTGGAGCTCCCAAAGAGGAGCCGCTGACGTTGCGGGAGGCAGACGGGCTGAAGATGAAGCTCATCATGTCGCCAGAGAAGGAGGAAGGGGAGAGCTTCCCGTTCACACCCCACTCGTCCAAAGGAGGCGTGAAGAAGGAGAAGGAGAGAGACAGGACGCAGCTCTCAAAGTCGTCCAAGAAGAAGCTGCAGCAGAGTCGAGATCCACTGCCTGTGGTGGGAAAAGAGGTGGAGGTGGAAGGTAAGACAAAACTTAATGATGCCCCAGGAGTTGCAGTTGTTTCTGGATGAAGACATATTTCCTTTGGTTGCACTTGATTCTTGGAACTTCATGTTGTCTTTAGTTTCTTCATTTGTGATCTGCGTTCCTCTGCTGTCTGTTAAACAGGTCATTATGGAGGTGGCATGGGAGATGACAGTTCTTCATCTGGGGGTGAGCTGGAGGCAGGAGAGTTGGTTATAGATGACACATACACACATCTGTCAAAAAAGAAGAAGAAGAGCAAGAAAAGCAAGAAGAAAAAAGACAAGGAGAAGGACAGAGATAAGGATAAAAGCGGGAAAGACAAGAAGCACAGCAAGGGATTTGGAGGTTAGTATATTCAGTGGTACTCACTTTTAAGGACTTTTCAGTATTATTTATGTGATGTGCCAATGAGTGATGGAAAATCAATAAAAACTTTAAAACTTTAAACCTGGCACTTCCCTTGTAAAAATCTTGATAATTGCATGTTTTACTGTCTTTTTACACATTTTCAGTTTCTCAAAGCCTCACTCTTGTCGTCCCTTCGCTTTATCTGACCTTTTTCAGACTCCTCAAAGGGCCACGCCCACAGCCACTCCCATCCCACTGTCACTCACAGTGCTGTCGGTCCAATGTACGCTATGGGCGCACCCGTCCCTCCGCACCACCATCAGGGCAGTGACGGAATAACAGAAAAGAAGAAGAAGAAAGAGGAGAAAGATAGAGAAAAGCATGAGAAAGATAAAGAGAAGGTAAGATAATGTGGAGTTGTTATTTATTTGAGGATTGGTGGCGTCACCTCACCTCTTACTTTGTTGTGTTTTTCTTACAATATTGTTTCTCTTCTTTCTTCCTCGTTCAGCCCAAGAAGAAGAACACAACAGCCTATCAGGTGTTTTGTAAAGAGTACCGGGTCAACATCAACGCCGAGCAGCCAGGACTAGGTGGGTAAAATAAAGTATGAGTGTATAAATCGAAAAAGATTTTAAATTGCTAAAAGGAACCAGCTTAACATTTTGTGTGTGTGTCTGGTCCTCAGTCTTTGGCGAGCTGAGCAAGAAGTTGGCAGAGGTGTGGAAGGCGATGCCCGAGAAAGACAAACTCGTAAGTGTTTCGTAATTAACAAAAAGCTTTGGAACTCTTTCTAATTAAAGTGAATATCACTGATGTATTTGCAGTTGTGGCGATGCACTAAATGTGTGTTGTTGTTGTTGTTGTGTGCAGGTCTGGAGGCAGAAAGCTCAGTATCTGCAGCACAAACAGAACAAAGCTGAGGCCACAACGATCAAACACAAGAGCTCCACCGAGAGCAAAAGCAAAGGTATTTTTAACCCGGCGCTCTCGACTCTTTGTCCTTTCACCGCTGCATCTCGTTACAGACGTCTTTCATCTGTTGTTCCTTTGATAAAAGTTGTAGCACCAGGAACCGGGATGGTGTCTCCAAGCAGAGCCCCCGGCACCTTGTCCCTGTCCCCTGCGCGAATCCCAGATGTTGATCCCATCGATGCAGCAGCTCACCTGCAGCTACTAGGGGAGTCCCTGTCCCTGATCGGGCATCGACTACAGGAAACAGAAGTAAGTTTCAACGTGCTCGTGTTTTTGCATAATACTGCTCATGAGAAAAAAAAAACTAACGACAGACGGAAACATTTTTGATTTTATTTCCAACGTTGCGATGTTTCATTAATGCAGTGGATAAAGTGAATCACATGACCGATGTGTGTTTGTGTCAGGGGATGGTGGCCGTGTCCGGGAGTCTGTCTGTACTTCTGGACTCCATCTTGTGTGCGCTGGGGCCGCTGACCTGTCTCACAGCACAGATACCGCAGTTAAACGGCTGTCCTCGAAACGTCCTGGTACGGTATTGACATTTGTTAAAGCGTGATGGGTTGTTTTTTTTTTTCTTATCTTTATTCAGTTTAAGAGCAGGACTTATTTATTTCACTTTGAGATTGTGTTACGCTTTCACTCAAAACCCTGCGCTCACCTCTGCTTGTGCTCAAACTGTGCGTTTGCTCTCAGACGTTTGGTTGTCCCTTCAGACTTCCTGTGCTTCAGCTCCAGCTCTCGGATTTCTCCTCTGCTCTGTTTATTTATTTGTTGTACTTTAGGATTCCAGGAGAAGTGTTGACAAATGAAATTAGCTTTACATCTTTGAGAGTCAGTTTAATTTCAAACTGAAAGACTCTTGAAGAAAAAAAAAAAAGAAAAATCACTTTGACGGTTTTCAGTTTCCAAACTTCTTCACTTTCACTTTCACTCTGTGGACCACATGCGGGAGATACAGCAACAACTTTTATAACAGGGTTCTAACACTGCTTCCTCTTTTCTCATCAGTCGAACACGTTGGACAACATCGCCTACATCATGCCGGGACTGTGAGTGAAGGATGACAATCAGCGTGGAGCGATTGGTCAGCCAGAGCCAGCAGTCGTGACAGGATTGGTTCCTGTTACAGGACTGACCCTCGGACTTTAATTTAAAGCCGCTGCCCGGCATCTGAAAACTTGGATATTTCTAGTGTCATATTTTTTAAAGTGTATTTTTAAAAAAAAAAAGGAACATCATTCTTTTAATTTTGTAATTGTCATATTTTTTTAAATGAAGCATTTTACTGGACATCTTAATCCTTCCTGGCGTATCGTCTTAGTTCCGCAGTTACTGTACAGTTGTATGAATGTGTGTGTGACGTATGCAAGGTGCTGAATGTGTGTAGCTGTAAAGTGGGTGTGACGGATGAGTTTTCTTGTAGCTGTTTTTTTTTTTTTACTGAAATGTACAGGAACATTGTAGTTGATCTTTTGCTCATCATCAACAGACATAATATATTTAACACCTGATTATTTTTTCTTTTACCATGTAAAAAAGTACTGTTATGCCTTATTTGCTTGTTTTATAGATTTGATATTTTACTGTTCTTACAGTGTTTAGGTTTTGTCTGTACTGTAGAGTTTCAGAAATGATAGAAAACACCTTGTTCTAAAAAGAGCTGCTCGAGCAGCTCACTGTCAGAGCTTCAGACCCACAACAGTGGCCACATTAAATCATGATCTGATCAGATGTGACGCCGCTTCGGACATTTTTATCAGCTCGAGGGACGATGAACCACCCGGAACTTCAGGTTTTATATTCCTCCCTTCTCTCTTTCCTTTGCCTTCTTTCTCTTCTTCAGTTCGTTCTCTTGTTCACCTTGAACACTTTGGTCTTCAAGGCGAGTTTCCTGGAAAGACAAAGACAAGATAAGTTTCAGCGTTTTCTTTTTCTAAATCTGAAACGAATCTAAAATCCATATAATTAAATTTAAAATAAGCTGATGTACCTGATGCTCAATGGTCTGCTGGATTTTCTTGTAATATTATACGAAAATACACAATAGTTTTCTTCAAATGGTCCTAATACTAGGTAATGAAATAATACATGATTTGAAATATGGGTTATATTGTTTAAGTTATAAACAAAGAAAGAAAGAAAGGTGATAATGTGTTGGGTACTTAAAATTAAAAGTACTAGGACCTGGGTCATAAATAAACCTCTGGGCTGCAGTGGTGAGAACACCGACCTCTCTCGGTGGCCGGGCCCCGGGCGGAGTCGTTCTGCCTCGGCCACAGATGGAGCTGTGTTCACCTCTGGAGGAGCGAGAGGAGTGAGTCAGTCTGCAGGAACAAGGAAGTGACTTCATCCTGCTTCAGCTGCAGATCTACGACAGAGGAGAGGAGCAGACATGTCCGCTGCTGCTCCACAGGCAGGTAAATACATCTGAGCTTTAATAATGGAGCTTTTTAACAAGGGAGGAGGAGGAGGAGGAGGAGGAGGAGCGGCCTCCTGCTGCGGGTTAGTGCGGGAGGAGCAGAGGAGAAGCAAAGGGCGGTGTCACTTTTTAGCAACAACAACACAACAGGCTGGAAACTGCAGAACAATCTAGATCTGCAGCTTTTAAGTAGAAGGAGGACATCCTAATGAAAGTGGGGTTTTCTTGTTGAACTTTGTCCCTTGTGTTTTTGTCCCTGCTCCGTCAGAGCTGAGGCTGGTGGTGCTGGGGCGAACCGGACCAGGACAGAGCCCCGCAGGCTGCACCATCTTGGGCCTGCAAGACTCAGAGCAGGGCCCAGGAGAGGCCGTGAGCCAGGAGTGTAAACACAGAGGACAGAATGCAGACAGACAGGTGAGAGTGAGACACACAGACAGACAGACAGACAGGTGAGAGTGAGACACACAGACAGACAGAGAGGTGAGAGTGAGACACACAGACAGACAGAGAGGTGAGAGTGAGACACACAGACAGACAGACAGAAGAGAGTGAGACACACAGACAGACAGAGAGGTGAGAGTGAGACACACAGACAGACAGACAGACAGGCGGCCACACAGCTGAAAACTACAATAATAATACTATAACTTTTAGAAATGTACATTTTACAATATAAGGCCAGTAAAGGTAACACAGACACTTCTAGTAGTACAGTAGTAGTAGTTTTGGCAGTAGTAGTAGTTTAGGTAGTAGTAGTAGTTTAGGTAGTAGTAGTAGTTTAGGTAGTAGTAGTAGTTTTGGCAGTAGTAGTTTAGGTAGTAGTTTTGGCAGTAGTTGTAGTTTTGGCAGTAGTAGTTGTAGTTTAGGTTCTTTATTATGAATAAGAACAACAACACATTTTGAGCTTGAACAGTTTGAATCTCTTGAACATGTTCTTTCAGCCCTGATGAAATTTCGAAGCAGAAACAACAACCACAAACAAAGCAGACACTTTGACTTGTGTCTCCTTCTCTGTAGCTTGTGGTCGTCTCCAGTCCGGCCTGGTTCAGCTCCGGCTGCAGCCCCGAGGACAGAAGAAAACAAATCTCCTCCTTTGTCGCCTTGTCCAGCCCTGGGCCGCACGCCTTCCTGCTCTGTGTCCCTGTGAACCAGCCGACCGACGGAGAGGACAAGGCGTTGGACGCCCTGACGAAGCTGTTCGGCCCCTCCGTGGTCAGCAGACACACTATCGTCCTCTTCACCCACACGGAGGAGCTGGAGGAGGACGAGAAGCTGGACGAATACCTGGTCACGTGGCGCAAAGACCTCAGGGAGCTGGTGGAAAGATGCGGTGGCCGCTACCACACCCTGGAGTCCCGCAGCGGAGGAGAGGCAGGGGAGAGGGACGCTGTCGAGGAGCTGCTGCAGATGGTGGAGCAGATGGTGAAGGAGAGCGGGACGCAGCACCTGAGCTGCCCTCTGTACGACGAGGCTGAGGAAAGAGTGAGACAGCGGCAGGTGGAGGTGGTGAGACAGAGGAGAGCAGAGGAGCTGAGCGAGGAGGCGTCTCCCTCAGATTCACAACCAGAGGAAAACGTCACAGAGGAGGAGCTGGAGTCAGTCCGAGACGAAGCGGAGAGGAGCGTCGGTGATCTGAATGTGGATGTAGATGATATTTTTCCCTCCACCAGCGTCTCGCCTTCGTCCTCCTCCTTCCTCCAGGGCCTGTGGGAGAAGCTGATGGACTGGTTGAGGTGGCTGCCTCGACTGGTGAGGAGGGAGGCCTTGTTTGGGGCCCTGGTCGGCCTGTTCATGGGGGGGCCGTTCGGGGGCATGGTGGGGGCCACTGTGGGTTCCGTGGCCACTGAGGTGGGCAGACGGAAAACACAGAAAACTAAATAAGAGATAATCTTATGTATTAATGTATTAACGTGCACCTTAGAGTCACTTCACTGTGTGACTGAGCTACAGGCTAACAGCTAGCACGTGTCAGGATAGTATTTACCACTGAAATCCTGCAAGTATTTATATCTGAGAAACGTTACCACTCTCTATATCATCTAAACACTTTATTCACAGCTCACAAGTCAAACTTTATAGAGTAATATAATGGTGGAGGAAGTACTCAAACATTTCACTTAAGTAAATGTACCACATTAAGTTTTAGGTATTATAAGTAAAAATATTTGAAGAGTGGGTCTCAGTGTGATAAGATGTAAAAATGTATTTAATTAAAATTGAACTAAAGTTTTTTGGGGGAGTAAACATGTCGTCCATCTTTATTTAAAGTTCATGATTTGTCAGTTTCACCAATATTTTTAAAATAACAGTTTTTTTTGGTCCATTGTGGAAAAATTGAGCTTTTACAATAAATAAATAAATAAATGAAAATGAGCAACAACCAGATGTTTTCTTCATGACCTGGTTACCAAGCTGTTCCTGTGGTCGGCTTATTAGTAAAAAAATAAATTACTTGTACAGTAATAAAATAAAAGAACAGTAAGAAAAAACAAAAAGGCAAAACTAAGAACCAACCACGAGATGGAGACATCGACCTTTTTACCGCAGAAGTTTGAATGAGACGTTTCACTTCCTGCTCACCAGGCGAACGAAAGCTGCTGTTTGCAGAACATCAGTCACTTTCCCTTTGAAGCCCTTTGATTGTGAAGCGATTGGTTCTTAGAGAACTGTATCGCGGGGCCACGTGTTCCCTGAGATGTGTTCTCATCAGAGATGAAGTTTATAGAAATCTGTGGTGAGAGGAACCGAGCTGAGCGTGAAGTCTCTCCCAGACTCTCCTGCTCGCACAATGGCAGGTTACGGCTTTGACATTGATGTAATTGATACTCTGCTAAAACCGTCAGTCACAACCCATCCTTACATCTCTCTCTCTCTCCCTCGCCCGGCCCGCTCTCTCCCCCCTCTGTCTCTCCAAGCTGCCGCCGGCTCTGCCTCAGGAGCGGCAGCTAGGCGTTTCCGAGTGTGGGTGGTCCGGCCAGGATGGGAGAGAAAGAGAGAGAGAGAGAGTTAACTCTGCTCTCATGTTTCCCAAAGGGAGAGAGAGAGAGAGAGGAGGGAGGGAAAGACACGAGAAAAAGAGAGAGTGGCGAGAGAGTGGGTGAGAAGCAGCAAAAAGAGAGAGAGAGAGAGAGAGAGTCAAAGGCAGAGAACAAGCGTTTGGGAGCACATCTGTCTTCCAGATGTGGCCTCCACAGTTTGTCTGAAAGAGGAAAAAAAAAAAAAAAAAGGTTTTTAAAAGTAAAGGAAAATTGGTGCTAAACAGTTTTTTATTGTCAGGGATTACACGTGCAGAGGAAGAGCCACACACACCAGCTGAGGGATCCACCGGCCCGCTGCTGCCCTTCTCCTCGCGGGGCTGCAGTGAAACAGCAAACCAGAGGCTGGAAGTCAGGAGGGAGCACCTGTCCAAATATTATCCAGCCTCAGCGGAGACGCGCGGAGAGAGAGTCCGGTGTTATGAAGGGAAATTAATTAGAACATTTCTTGCGGAGGGGGAATTTTATTTCTGGAGGAAATCTCACAGATCAAACGCAGCACAAATCAAGGGCGGTGATATCTGCCGAGGCGGAGGACGAGGCCTCCCCAGGTCAGAGAGGAGGAGAGAGGAGGCGAGGGGAGGAGAGGGGGATGCAGGGTTGATTTGTGAATGTGTGTATAAGCAAAAGCCAAAATCTGAACAAACATGTGAGGGACTCACCAGTGAGCCATCATTAACACACGGGCTGTAACTCCTGCTCCTCTCCCTCGGAGCCTGGATGTTGTTGTAAGGGCCCTGTGGTCCCTCGACCGACTGAGGAGCAGAGGAGAAGGAGGAGGGGGGGGGGGGATGGTCCACTGCGAGACGTGGACACCGCAATATTTTCTTGTTATCATCGCACCCTATGGGCTGGAAAAGACAGCAAACCAAAGTCAAATATACAAGATGACACAGTTTTTCCTTGAGAGCACCAGGTCTTTTTCTCAGTGCAGAGACATCACACTCAATCACTGACTGCACGAAACTGTGAAGCATTTGATTTAAACATATATTCAACTGAACTATTGTTGTTCAACTTTTAAACTTTTAAACATTTAAAACTGATTGTTTCCTGTGATTTATGCAGAACAGCCCCTGGATGCCCTCCACGTGAATTCACACGAAATACAAAAAAACAAAACAAACAGTGTCGAGCCACAAACAAGCAACACAAAAAATAAAACGATGAAATGACGATAAAAGCCAAATATCTGAAAAATATTTGATCCTTGCTACTTTTACATTTTTGCATTTTATTTGAAAAGAGCAAAATACAACTAACCACTGTAAAATATAGAACATTTTATTTTTTAAATGAAAGAACTTTTTCTTTCATGTTATGGGTTATAAATATAATTATACGACACGTGTGTCTAATAAATTTACTAGAGCAACAATATAAAATAAAACAATTCAATTCAGTACAATACATTTAAAAAAAAAAAAAAGACAGTGAAAGAATGGGAGAGAAGCGGTTTAAAATAACACACATGTGCTGCAGATCAAATGCATAAACTTCCACCCAGCAATTCTGTGGACTTTTCCTAACAATGTGACCTCAGGCTGCAAACTTTCTATCTGATCCCAGGGCTGTGTGTGTGTGTGTGTCTCTGTGTGTGTGTGTGTGTGTCTCTCCGTGTGTGTGTGTGTCTGTGTGTGTCTGTGAGACAGCGGTGTCCAACACTCGACTCTCCTCTCTCTCTGGTCGTGCTCACTGTGAGCCCTCTCATCTTTTTCCCATTAGTGCTGTTTTCATGTTCTTTCCTAGCGTGAGTGTGTGTGTGGCTCCAATTGTTTATGAAGCTGTGTGTGTGTGTGTGTGTGTGTGTGTGTGAGCAACTTAAATTCATGCAAAAGATCCAGAATTTCATAAAGAAAAAAAAACAAAAAACTTTCATTGAATTATCTATGACATTTTTAAAATTCTTTTTCGAGAGCAGCAACGTGTATTTTTCACTCTGCGTGTTATTGTAAACAGTTGGAAGAGGAAAGCTGCTTCATTTAAAGCAGTGGTTCTAAATCCAGATGGATCCTCTCAGACCCAAAACTCAAAAACTCCATCAAAAATTCTAATTTGACTTTTTTTTTTTTTTAGATTCTTGCTATTTTAAAGTGTAATTTAATAATATATAAGAGTGGATATTATTATGTTTTTTAATATAATTAAAATCCTTGTGTGTGTAGTTTAGTTTGGAAAAGTCAAGGTTCAGCTATTCATCCACAACTTTCAGGTATTTTAACTAATCTTTTTGCTATTTCAACAATTTCTGCATAAGTTATAAGCATTAAAATTGTACATAGGCTAATTTAATAGTTAATAAACACTAATATAAAAAGTTAAAAAGATAAAACTCTCAAATTTTCGAACAAATTTTTGCAACTTACAAAGAATCACTTCAAAATTCAAAAAGTTTTTTCCTTTTAATTCTCACGTGTTCATTCATTTCTCCTCCCGAGTGTCTGTGGTCTGTGTTTGATCTAATGCGTCACAGGTGAAGTGAAAAGCCGACAAACAGCAGATTACATCCAGAATCTGACCAGAACACGGAGCGAGGTGTCAGCACAGACACGAGGGGGAAAACAGAACAGGAAAGAAGCCCCCAGACAACATGAATACGAAATCACACACAGCTGCTGAGGTTACGGCCCTGGTGGACACACACTCAGTCAGCAGCACATGTACCAGCAGCCTTTGTGGAGAGGAGAGGCACGTATCAAGCGGAGGTGCACAACCGTCGCACCTCCGTCTCCTCGTGCCGATGGAGGACGGAGGAAGTCCTCTCCTCTCGCGTGGATGCAGGAGGATGAGGAGGCCTGGGACTCCGGCGATGCTGTGTGGTCTGCTTCAGGTTTGCACGGCTCTATTTGTTTTAGAGGGAACTCCAAACATGGCCGCCACATTTGTGTCACTTATTTTTTTTACTCTTAACAACCTGAACATGTCACTTGACGAACACAGAGAAAGCACTCGGGCTTAGCTCGCAGCCCGCGGACACGTCGGGATCAGACGACGTTAAATGAGTTCCAGTTTGACTCGGTTCACTTGCCAAGGGCCGGCGTGTCTTACAGGCCTGCGGATTAGCATCTGTGGGATGAGTAGACGGCTGCGGATGGACGAGGGCTGCGAATGTGTGCAGCAGGAGGCCGGAGTTACACGAGGAAGAGGAGGTTTTTTGGGGGGGGGGGGAGATGTGGCGAGATAACGCTGCATGAAAGGAGCGAGAAAGGCTGGATTCTGTAAGTGTGACAGCTCCGAGGAGTTAGCGGTCTCGCACCACACCTCCTGCAACACATGGGCTTTGAGGAGTCCGGGGGTTGGAGGGAGGGAGGGAGGGAGGGAGGGGGGTGAGGGGAGTGAGGTGGGGGCTCCAGTCAGAGAAGAAGACAACTCACTACTTGTGGAGCTGCGGTGCGGGTGTTGGATGGCCCCTGAGCTCACCATAATTGATGAATAGTGTGGTCCACATTAAGTGACATGCGCCGTTGGCTGTAAGTGGGTGCGATGATTGGGGGCCTTTTGAAGCTGGGGCCGTGGGCTGTGTTTGAACCGTCAGTGGAGACCCCTCTTCTCTGTAAAGGACACCACCCTGTGGTTTGGTCGTAGCCTCGGCGCAGGCCAAGCTCAGCACACACACACACACACACACACACACACACACACACACACACACACAAACAAACACACATACGCTCCCCTTCAGTAGTATTATAGGGTTTTGGGGGAGGTGATTGTATTATTCCTGCTGCAACACTGACTTAACTCAACGCAGATCTGACCCCAGCTCCTTCTTCTCCACTTCTGCTCTATTGGATCAAGTCCTAATCCTGCCCTCGCCACATGAATGGGAGACACAAAGAGGAGCTGCACTCCCTCCTGCCTCATACATCAGATGTCACTCAGGTCCATATGCTGTCATGCAGTTTATGATGGGTATCACCGTGTCATGTGAAAGCCGAGGGAGCTTAATGGAGGCCTCAGCGAGAGCAGAGCCAGAGACAGACATGCAGGGAGATTGGAGCCACGTCGTCGTGCACAGATACTGTGAGCGCCGGCAACCTGGAATTGATCTTGCGTTGCCCTGTTGTTTTCACAGATCCGAAAGCCGCACACATCCTCTGCCAGGAAAGCCAGAGGAGCTGACCCGCCGCACCACTTCAGAGCCTCGGTGCACAAAACAATCCCTAAATTGGAGCGTCTTAGGAGACACTTCACAGTAAGCTCTGACTA